GAATGCAGAAATGTAATTATTTTATCATCCGTTGGGTTATGGATATGAGTAAAAATCCCATTGGGAACTTACACCACAAATTCCATTTATTATGCATTTGTAACGTTTGCATGGTACAAAGGCATTTAAATAAGGTATTTAAAACTGAAACGGGCATTTCGCACGTTACAAAATGTGGAACACGATCATTAACACAATTATGCATATTTGTCTTTAGGGCAGAACACCAAACAAAAAAAATGACAGGCGTGATACCTGAGCATTAAAAACTGTGTATTAGGTTCATGTATTGAGAGCAATACACGACGGTAGGTAATGTCGGATTTTACCATAATCGCTGGCGAAAGTTGGCATGATACGCCTACTGTGGGGATCATAATTGACTAATTCCCATGTACGCGTTACGTTTATGTACCAAAGCAAATAAATATAAATTGCAATATAATTACCCGAGAAACCACGACAAATTATAGAAATATCACACAATCCGGCCATAGCAGATCCGCTCAAGGAAATTTTAATTACATTTATTCTAGAGATCGCAAAAAAGTGAAATCTTGCGTAGTAGTATTAATAGATCTGTGATATACCTACATACTACCTTTTGCAAATCGGTGTCGTGGGATTGAAAAAAGGAAATGCCTTTAAATGTTTACTGACAGAGAATAACGATATGGTAATATGTGTGGTAGGTTACGATAAATAACTACAATACTTCAGATGAATTTTTGAAGAGTTACAGTTGGAAGAAGTTGATGATTAGGATTACTTTTAAAGATGCTTCATTTGGTATTTTGACCTTAACCAAATGCGAAATTGGAACCAGGTGGAAATGAATTCATACTTGTACTTCATATAGTGCAGCATATGTCGACCATATCTAATGGTTGCGTGGCATAGAGCAAGAAACAAAAAGAACTAATTTAATAATCGTGATTGACGCGTAAAAGAGTAGGTAATTAAACTGAGCGAATTTGCGCGTGTTGATGTACTTTTAAATTCGAAGGACCTCTAAATCATTCGCCATGACGGAATTTTATAATAATAATGTATTAACCGACTACAATCTAATAAGCAGTATGTTTTATGGAATTCGTGTGCATATTCATTTAATTAGATGTTGCACGCCCTCAGGATTAGCTTATTGTTCATAAAGAAGTCGTTCAACGAATGCAAAACCTTATGAGTGAAATTATTATTATTAATTTCTTTAGATTTAAATGGGGAGGCGAATAGCTTTTTTTTCTTTACATCATCATATGTAAATTGTTATTTCCCCATAGGTACGGCAACTTATACTCAAAAAGGGCTTCCTGATCGCATAAATTTCTGCATTGTGGCAAAGTAAAAATAGTGTTTTGTTATGTTGTCATCACCCAAGATTTTCATCCATAGTGACTCCTAGGAACTAACGTACAAGAATGACAAACTTGGACTTGTATTATTCTGTAATTCAAATTGGTCATACTTTGTTTGGAAATTCGCTTATACACAGTGTGAGTTTTTTAAAGTGGCAATAACTCGAAAACGGTTTAAAATATTTTTATGAAATTTTGGTGACTTAATAAGTATACTTATTTATTATTTTTTTAAAATGTATTATCCCTCTCTTGTTCTGGGCCCTCAACAGGCTTGCGCCCAATTACAGAAAGACAAATATTAAGATTGTTTAAAATTTTTTTCCAATTTTTAGGAGAGGGGGTCACTTTGACATTTTAAATTAAATGAATCCATGGGGTTCAAATCCGGGAGCCTATGAAACATTTCATGTAAATAATTACGGGCCTGCATTGTATAATGGGGTGGAGCCCCATTCTGCTGAAATCACATGTCAATATGTATCTTGTCCTCGTCAATCAATTTTAAAACATGTCCAAGTCTATCAATTTCAATTTTATATTATTCACAGCAAAACAAGTAGACGGTAAGCAACGTCACCTTAAATGACATAATATTGTACGTTTGTATGTTTATTTTCAGCTAAAGTCTGATGATGAATCATAGATTCGAAATCGATTACCTATAGTAATTTTAAAGTAAATTATTTTTAATCTACATAAACCTACTCAATAAGTAATTAGAAATGGAGCAATACATCAATAAACCACATGTCAATATTTAGGGCGTCGCCAAAGAATTGGCCTAATTTATTGATTTCTTAAAAATCTGTGTAGATTTATTCATCTACATGTTGTTAAAAAATGCGGACCAATAGATACATATATCCCCAAAATGCCACACCAGACGTTAATTGACCCGGGATGTTGATTTTGCAGAGTTTCTCATCCAGTGTGGATTTTCCTGCGCCCATAATGCATCTGTTTACCTTTTGGAAAATAACTAAACAAAAAAAACAAATTTCCTCTTTGCTAACTTACGGAAAGTGACTGCTTAAAAAACATTTTTCAAGAACCTGGTATTTCCTTGGACCTGTCTTGCTACCCAATTACAAAACTTAACGCGATTGCTCATACAGCAAGATGTACAAGTGTAATACGGTTATAACTGATTTTTGAAACATTGTAAGTACCCTTATCCGACATGCCGTCTTAGAGATATGCGCAATGGAAATGTAACCCTACCGAAAGATCTCCTTCGTCCACATCTGCCAGTTTTTCCTTGCAGGAAAAAAAGATTTCAAATTTAAAGATTCTAGGTTGTACTTTTAAGATTGGGCTTTAAGCTCCAAGATGTAAAAACTCCAAGCTTCATACCGTATGTATCGTGGATCGTGCTTTAAACTTTAGACTGCAAGATTAAACTCAAAAAGGAACAAAATAAAGGGTTCAAGATTGTATGTTTGCGTAAAGACTAGTGCCGCATCACTCAATATTGAAAATATAAGCTTGAGAATTCACCTTTGAGAGTTCAAGTGCCAGGATCGCCTATTCAAAATTCAAGCTTTAAGACTCATAATTTAAGGTTTAAGTTTGAAGATCTCCATTTGAAAATATTTAAAATAGAGGCTTCACTTTTCAAATTTCAATGCTTAAGTTGCAAGATCGAACTGAGATATGGTTACAAACAGTTTGTATTGTTACACAGCTTTACATGTTACTCAAAATAAAATATTACGTTAACAGTTCTAAATTCAATGGTGTTGGTTATTAACAAAAAATAGTCATCGTCGACAGTAGAGCCGTTTATTTGTCAGTAAGAATCTTTGCTATTGGTTGTCCTTATGTTTCAAATTCTTACATAGATTTGATAGATTAGCGAAACATTATACCTCTCCCATTACTATTACGTGGAACTGCCCTCAGATAGGTAGCAGCTGGTTCTCCACATTCTTCTATCCCGAGCCTCCTGCTCCACCTGGTGGTAACTTCTTTCCCGTGGCGATGCGTCGCTTGCACGTCTGGCCGCAAACTAAAACGGGCTGCACCCTGATTGGTCTGAGGCCTTTATTCCAAAAATGGGGATCTCTAAGTTGCCTATGAAAACAAAATAACTGAAAGTTGGAACGATATTATTTGTATCAATATATTCAAACAAGCCAATTCACATGAGTATTAATTTCAGTGATTAAACTAGGCAGGTTTTGATTTTCAGATTATAAGGGGAAATAAAGAACCAACTTTCCGCAAGGTAATACTCATTAAAAGTTTACTTATTACTGAGCTAGTCGCGGATTTAGATGTTTCAATACAAAAAAAATCAGTTGTTACAGTAGAATTTTTACCTGTGTCGCCGAGATTAAAGTTGAATTTATGCAAGTGGGGCTTTCCCGCTTTCAACCCCTGTAATTGTAGCTAAACCGTTAAAAATTGCGGAAAAAATTGGAGACCTGCCCTATGTAAGGTAGGCAACGTATTTGTAGTCCAGGGTTTAAATCTTGAGGGTGGTTTGGGAGCAGAGATAGTGTAGTAGAGGTTGGGCATAAAATTGATCGTGTATTGGCTCTGGCAATGTGTAGGATAATATGAAATTCGGTCGGGTTAAGGGGGATGTTTACAAGTCTGCGAAGAAAGACTCTGAAACAGGGTAACTTGTGTGGTAGGCGATGGGAGGAATCAAAGGGAATAACGTGGTGAGTGGTCGCAGGTTTTATATAGACACTGATTTCCAGGATGCAGTGAGTAGAAATTGAGGGATCTATTGACAGTTTCACTTGAGTTTATTGTGACTTTAAGATTAGGGTGCAGGTATTAAGGATATTAAAACAATCATTCAGAGTGGTTCTGTTGTTTTCAAAGATGACATCGTGTGTATTAATGAAAAAGAAATGAAATAGGATTTCATTATATTATATTTAACTGGAGCTATTCATTTTTCATTATTGATGTATATGCCAGTACGATTAAAATCCAATTCAGAAGGTTTTATTGTTTTAATGGCTTCATTTGTTGCCCAATATGACTATCCTAGGTTTTCCCCTCGACGGAGTTGTGCTTAAGTAGTGGGGGGTAAAAATGTAAATACAAAAAGGGTATTTTTTTACGGTTATATCTTGTAAAGGACTCAACATCAAAAACATAGTCCCACTAAAAATATATAGGCATTAAATTCTGCATTGAATGAGACCAAAATTCGCGGTACCTACATTAGGTATAAAAAATTCAAATGGTTATCTATTGCTACCCTTTAAAGTAGGTAAATAGGTGCTTGAAAAGACGCAAATTCGCATTCTGGTTTGGATTTTGGAACTCTAACAAGCATTCAATCCATAACCGCACAGGCAAACCCATGAGATACCAATGGACATCGCTGTCGATTTTATAGACCACAAACATAAAACGTGTGGCCGTTTCTACCGTTACTTGAATGATAGCGTAAGTACAAAGCGAAAGTTCCATACATTTTTGGTACTTTTTTCTACAAATTGGGTTGCTTCTCATCCAACCCACTCACTCTTTCTGAACGACCCCATTCATTAGCACCTCCAATTACGCTTTACTTAAAATTAAATTATAGGCCGTTATTTACACAAAACAAGCCCGAGTTGTTCCACATTCCATCATCGCCATAAGTAGTAGGTCTGTAGTGTACGATCTCTCTTAAGTTATAAATGACTCTTCGGAACGGGTAACCCTCAGATGTATGTTGAAGTTCAAGGTGAGAACGTTCTCATTTTGAATTGGCGCGTTTGTTTAATTATGTGATTTTGCGCGAAAATACGAAAATGTACAAAATTATTTTGTTAGTTTTTTCGATTTTCTCCTGCAGTCATGCACAAGTTCGATCTATGGGAAATGTTCGGGAGGTTTTAAAATGTGCGGCGAGATTGGATTATTCCTGCATTTTAGATTACGCTGAAGATGCTGCGCATAATGCGTATGCTAACGCAATAAGTAAGTAATTCATGTTAATGTGCTTATTTTAATACAAATCATGAAAGCAATTAGTTTAGAGCATTCATTGCTTTTATTTAATTCAACTGACTGATTAATAATTATGATTAGCGATATGAGATTGAAGTAATAATCCATGCTACGGCCTCATTTATTACCAGTTTTGTTCTGTGTAGGGAAATTAGAGATGTAATGACTAATTTAAAGACTTAGTTTATTAGATCTAATTAATGGAACTAGGCTGCGATAACGGATTTTTATGACTACAACCCTAGTTGAGCCACTGTATTAAGTGTGAATTTCAGTTTCTTGCGTTTCCGCACTTACCTACGTTTTACTGCAGGCGGATGTGAATTTATTCTAATGGATAAAGCAAAGTAATTGCGGTACAACGCACTGAATGGCAATAAATCGCACATTAAAACAATTACAAAAAAGTTTGAATACCTATGCGGATTTGTATGTAAAAACGCACAAGTTTAGGCTTGACGATGCATGGCAATTAAATTCATTAAAAACCAGAATACCTAGTCGTACTTTGCAGATTGCAGTTGAAAGCTCTTGATTTGTTTGTTTTATTTGAATTAGGCTTCTTTCGCGCATGAACTTTTTCTAATAGAAATTGACATGGGGAATTTAAGCATCAAGTCCCGATTGAAATTCCTCAATTTTTTCCTAGGCATTGGCGGCTACGGTACCTAAATCGAAATTTACATTTCATTATTCTTTGCAAATACAATTGACGTTTTTATGCATCCAGTCACCTGTACAATGCAGAAATCACCCAAGGTATTTCGGGTTTGTCAAACAGATGCCATTTTTTGATAACTATTCGCTATCTACCATATTGCCATAACAGATTAGGTACCTACATATTTAGTAAGTTATAAGGAGAAATGTGTAGACCCAATGAAATGTAAAACGTGAATCAAAACAACAAAGTAACTATAGTAACCACAACATCGAAGCAGTACCTTCCCTTTTTGTATCTTCCTAGGCCAGGACAGGCAAATATTTAAAGATGATTCACATCAATGGAAATGTATGAAATTAACTTTTTTTGGCATAAAGAAATGCGGTTTGGTGTTTGCACCGTAATTGACACGTACTTAAATAGCGTTTTGATGGTTTCCTGGATCTTGGAAGTTCGTTTTTTCTAAATAAGAATGTGGAAAATATTGTGCTTATTTTGAAATCGGTATCGGACACAAAACCTAGTTCGGTTGAAATAATTTGAGAGGAAGCACCTGGCAAGTTAGAAAGGAATTTTGCTAGAACATGTGGAATTCGTACTTTGTTTATAAAGCAGTTGTTTATTTATTTATTTATTTATTTAGTATTTATTATTTATTATTCCTCCCTTGTTTTGGGCCCTAGACAAAAATAAACTAAATTTAAGAGAACAAGGGTAATTTTAAGGTATATTCTTAGTTGGCACCTAACGTGAGGTAGGTACATTGTATTTTAAATGTCAGATTCCGTGAGGAAATAGGTATCATAATTATTGTTGCGTTTGCTAGACTATATGGAGAAAAGCGACACGAATTTGGAAATAAATGGTGATGAACTCAAATAAAAAATTATAAGGTGACGAGGCAGAGTGCTGCTAATAGAATAGCTTGAAGTATGTTATTTGAAAGAGGAAATGTGAAGATTAACTAAGAAAGCACATTTAAAAGAAAAATTACAAAATGTTAGAAAGAGATTACCCAAGGAACGAATTAATTGAAAAAATATAAGAAAAATAATTTTAATGAAGAAGTGAATCTGAAAGGAAAGCAAAAATGAAGAAAAACAAAATGGAATTGAAATGAAAGAAGAGGTCGCGGGAGATAGAAAATCATTTAAAAAGCATAGTTATAAGAATAAAGACGGTATTGGACGGAAGGTGAGAAATGTAGAAAGAACAAGTTAAAAAGTAATCGTAAACGATTTACATAAAGCGCATTTCCACTTGCATTCATTTCCCATTTGTAAGATGCAACTTCTGTTAAAATCGTAAAAATCCGGCCCCAAATATGAAAGATAGCGTTGCACATGGGCAATCCATTGTTGACGTGCTACTTCAATTTCAGTTTATGAGAAGAATTTCATTTCAATGCTTTTCTAAATAAGAAAGTTGGAACTGCGCATGCGTAAACCTAAATTTTAAAACAAATTTACTATAACTAACTAATAAACTAAGATTTTCCTTTGTTCCAAGCGCCTAAGTATCAAATTTCACTTAAATAGTTCCATAGATAAAAAAGTTGGCACTGCGCATGCGCAAAACCAAATTTTGAAATTGGCTTTTGATTTTCTTTTATCCCAAGTGCCAATGTATCAAATTTCGTTTAAATTCTTCCATAAATAAAAAAAGTTGGCACTGCGCATGCGCAAAACCAAATTTTGAAATTGCGTTTGATTTTCCTTTATCCCAAGTGCCTATGTATCAAATTTCGTTTAAATTCTTCCATAAATAAAAAAGTTGGCACTGCGCATGCGCAAAACTAAATTTTGAAATTGGCGTTTGATTTTCCTTTATTCGAAGTGCTTATGTATCAAATTTCGTTTAAATTCTTCCATAAATAAAAAAGTTGGCACTGCGCATGCGCAAAATCAAATTTTGAAATTGGCGTTTGATTTTCCTTTATCCAAAGTGCCTATGTATCAAATTTCGTTTAAATTCTTCCATAAATAAAAAAGTTGGCACTGCGCATGCGCAAAACCAAATTTTGAAATTGGCGTTTGATTTTCCTTTATTTCAAGTGCCTATGTATCAAATTTCATTCAAATACTTTTATAAGTAAAAAAAGTTTGCAATTCGGTTTATAAATGGTCGAGATGCGAAAAGGGCACTGTGAATTTTGAATCGATTCGATCCAACTTTTGGCATTGCGTATTATATGGCTAAATCTATGCCCATATTGAATTTCATGTCAGTTCATAACTAACGGAGATGTAAAAGCGATCGAACATTTCTAAACAAAGTTATCGTTCACACGGACAGATAGATGGACAGACAGACAAAGGAGCAGACGGAGAGACCAACCGGCAGGCGACAGATAGCAATGCAAAATTATAAACGATCTCTAGGATCGTTAATAAACGGCAAAAGTGTAAAATTATGGAACATGTAAAAAACGGTTTTTTGTTTTTTTTATACAATAACTTTTTTTGTAAGCGGTACAGAAAAAATTCCTTCCTTGGTACAAGACTCGACACCATAACGAACCAAATAGCGAAAAAAGTAGAACAATAGTTCTTAAGATAAAAAACTAGTAGCGTCGCAAAGTTAGCGGACGGACGGACGGACGGACGGACGGACAAAGTGGCCACAATAGCGCATTTTTTTTTTATTTTTGTGGAAATGCGCTAAAAATATGAAAACGAGATCTATGACGGAGAATTCAATGATGAAACTATGAACCGGAGGAGACATTTAGGCAGTACAGGCGAGATTAAGACAATAATTTGAATCTAAATATTCAGAATTTTTAAAGTTATACCGTACATAAACCAAACTCCCCCCCTCCTTAATTTTGGTAGCTTCGGTTTAACTGGAATTAAACCTATATGTTAGCATAATAGAAAAGTAAAGAAAAGTAATTAACTCTTTATTTAACCGTAGTTACGGTGTTTTCGATAATTTCTAATTAAAGTTTATTTATTACTTAATTTAATTAATTATAATTTTAACTACGTTATTCAACTGTAACATTTAAAAAATATGTACAGGGCGCATTAAAATACCAAAGTGATTCACCTTGATCCAATTTGAAACAATTAACTTATAATGATAAAAATAATAAATTCATTACAGTTCTTCTGATTGCATATATTTGGCAAAATTTATGTTTGTCGTTGAGTCAATTAAGAACGATTTTGGTGCATTCATGGATGCCGAGATTAAAAATCAAATTTTAATAAATCTCGTATACATTAGCAAAAACAGTATTTAATTTGTTTTTTACTCATAATACTCACATCACGAAGTCGGCCAAAGTTACAGGGGCGAATTTTAACATTATACTGCTGTGTGCAATAAGCAATTAGCAAAAAAAATGCGGTCACGACACAACATCTGTCCAGCTAGCTGAAAACAAATCAAAATTGAAACTGAGAAATTTTATAATCTAGCCTCGTAGACGCACGGCATCTGCTAGAAGAAAAATCCAATATTGACTTCAAATTTCTCAATTAGAGAGACTCGGTGGCCTTCTGAAAATTCCAAAGAACTTTTGATCAACACCTGAAATAAATCTTGAGCACGAATAGACAAAAAATCTGACATGAAAATTCTATCCAGGTCTATAAACAATGGATTAAAATAAAACACACAATTAATTGATTGACATTGACAAACGTGTATTCCGAAACACAATGAAAAACAAATTTCAACAAGAAAGAAAGAAAAGAAAAGAAGGGAACCTTAAACAAAAGGCCTCGCGTACCTACAATCCTTCCTTTTTCTCGACTCGACAAAGCTTTTCCGTAATCGGACAACGAACGTTAAATTTCTCACACAAACTTTGACGAACTTGCTTCTGCACAGATTTATTATAAAAAAATCACGAACTGCGTCTTCAACAACACAAATAGGGACGTAATAAATAAATTGACACGCTCTTCTTCGAATTACGCATTTACAAAATATCCAAAAGGAAAAATAAACTGCGATACAAATTCAAATGAAACGCACCAACTTTGTGTTTATTTCGCAAATACTCCCCCAGACTTACTTAAATATTTTGAAATATACTTATATACAAGGTGCCCCGTCATTACCATTTTTTAGCGTTGGGGTTCAAAGTGCAAACCGTCCATTGCGGATATATTTGGAGCGGCTAGATCAATCAAAACTCTACACTTCCCTTGTGTATAAGAGGTGTTATTAGCACTGTATTGAACGACCGGTTAATTCGTGCCTTTGTTCGCTGTCAATACCTTAAGTTATAAGGGTAATGTTGGGACATTTTCATACTACGGAATACTGATAACTTATTGCGGTAAATAAACCAAATTTCAACTGTTAAAGTTCGTGAAACCTGAAGCACGGTTTGTTCCGGATTACAACTGTCGCACATCTTTTGAGAATAACTTACAACGAGTAACCAAATTTTACTTGGTGATAGAAAAGGCGTTCCGCCATCCAATTTTCCAAATTGCTGCTATCCAACTGTCTATCGGCGAAAATTTTTACTAATTGATAAATGCATTGTGTAACCCAACGTGTAACCATAGGAGTCGATTTTGTTTTCATTATAACACGAGTTTCTAAGCATTCATCAAATTCAAGCTAACTGATAGCTACCCCAGAGTGGCGATTCACAATTAACTGTAAACATTGTTTAAATAAACAATGCTGTAAGACTTCCAGAGTTCAACATCGAGGAAAGAATTGTAAATATCAGGTTAGTTATAATTTGTGTATACTTTGGTAAATTTCAATCGACAGCTTTACTATCAGTTGAGTAAAAAGGTAAAATTTTCATCTATTGTGTTATCACGATTATCACTTTAAATGAGAGATCATAGAAAATGGGAAGAATGAAGAAACTTCTATTAGTGTCAGAACCAAAATCTCTGCACTATCATAGGTACTATCGTGGCACCCATATTGGAACTATTGATACCGTGCTAGATGACAATTTTTGATTTAGAACATAATCAATTTAATGTACTTAATACAAGTAAATACAAAGACCCAACAACTCTAATACGAAGTAGTGTTCATTGAGGCATTTTGGGGTCAATATTACGACCCTTCCTTGAAGTGTTCGGGGCAATACAACTTGGGCCGATAATGATTACAGTGCTGTAGGACTGTAATGACGTCTTTTACTGACCAAGTGACCACCCAAAAATAAGTTGAAATTCGATGTCATGACACATATTCGTGATGCTTGGCACGGATAAAATGCCGTATCTTCCACTCTCACCTTTCGCTGTACGTACAACTGCAGACAGTTCCATCAAAAGGAACATATGTCATCACGTTACCGTAATTCCCTGAGTGTAATTACACTCACTTACGGTGCAAGAGGATAATACGATAACCAACTGCTAGTGATTAAGTACTTTGTAATCTGAAACTTTGTATAAAATTGAAACGTGCCGAAAGGTACCTACCTATAATGCAAAATGCAATAATAATTATTGCGTCCATTGAAATTAAATGGGGATATGCGCTCCGTTATGATAATATTTGTATAACGCAAAAAATTAGCGTGGAAAAATGAAATGTTGAACCGTTGTAATCAAGCCGAAACTGCAATTATTCCATAATTATTCGTCGTTTTATTGACGTTAAACGTACATAAATTCGAAAACTTAAATGACAAAACCGGAATCAGAAAACTTTGTAGACCCATCTTAAACGGTCAGTCGAATAACGTTGAAAAGTAGGTAGCGATCGTTTATACGCAAAAACTTGTTTTGGTTTCATCAGCCGGTAACTAATATGTGTAGGCTAACTATCGAGGTTACTAGTTAACGAGATTTTTTACGTTTTTAGAGGAAGCGGATATGGAGGCGCGTAAGATGTCAATTGAAACGGGAAGAGCGGACCCGGAAGAAGAACAACCATCAAGTATTCTTACAACCATTACCAATATTATATCCGAGCTACCTGAATTGTTACGGGTATCGCTTAGTGCAGCCTTGAATGGCGAAGACGCTGATAATGACGACAAGCCGTCTGATGGAGGTAATACTAAGGACGCTGAAGAAGACGACGACGAAGAAGAGGAGGAAGATGACGACGATGCAGAAGAAGAAAATGCTACAGAGAAATCCAAAACTGTAGGTGACGAAATAGCTCAGTGCAAAAACGGAACCACTTGTCGAGGAAGAACTTCGAAAAATGTGGCGGGAATTAGCTCCAAACAATCCGGTAGATCTCAACATAATGGTGGTAAGTCGATACGCGCACAGTCGAATCAATCTAATGATCTTCTTTCAGTCGCCAGAAAAAAGAAGAAAAAGGAGAAGAAGAAGAAGTTGAAGACCATTATTAAATTAATTGCCGTTGCAATTGTCCTTATAGTAAAGCTCAACATTTTCCTAAAGCTACTTGCCGCGAAGTTACAAATAAAATTCTTCCTAATCGCCGTTGTAAACTTACTAATAACGCTAGCCAGATTTTGGTGGGATTTGAAGAAGGGGCACAGCGACCATCCCCAAAAAGTGATCTACTATGAACACGCGCAACATCAGCACCATTACGACGGTGGAGACGATTGGCACAGTAGCGGTCCTAGCGAATCTTACTGGGGGAGAGCTGACGCAGACGACAAGAAGACCGCTCAGGACCTGGCTTATTCTAAGCAAGCTCCTGGTAGTATCACGTATAGTAGGGTTGACGATAAACCAAATTTTTCTTGGAATCCTTGGGCTGAGCGGTCGTTGTAGTTTCGTTAGATTATTTATTTCGTTGTAGTTTCTGCCAGTGCAATTAAAACTAAAACTAATGCCTTTAAGGACATTAATTTGAGTAGCTAGTCATAATTATTTATTGCAATTTATATATCTCGTTATTAATTTTAATTTATTTATTATATTCTAATTTATTGATTGTTACTATTACCGATGTTATACATCGACGAATGCAGTGGAGCCAAAATGTTACTTATTGCCATTGACGCACCCTTAAAACAATTTACGCACTTCCATGGGAATATGGTCCAAGGGGTTATATGTAAGTTACTTACGTACATAAAACCAGGGTAATAATATAATAGTTATATATTTTAATAATAATAATAAACTTTTTAATGCCGTTAGATATTTATAACGTTATGTTAGAGATAGTAGCGTTCAAACATCATTAATACCCCCTTTTGTAACCAACCATACTATTACGTCCTTGGTACTGTAGTACTAGAGTATAGAGGTGAGCCTAATAAACGGATACTTTAATAAATAATCTGTATCGTCAAATGTCATCTATTATGTGTCTCCTAAAAATATTTCATTACCAAGCAAAAAGTTTCCACCTCACCCTAATTGTTGTGCACTAGTATTACCTAAGTCATATTAGGACATCCAAGGAGTAAATCCCATATGGTATGTTCGAGCATTGTTCAAAACTTCTATACCTACATGTGCGTCAATTTTCTTGGCGCAAGAACCGGAAACTATGTTACTCCGTGTTAGTTTTCATTATTCGTGTCTGAATTACTAACATACCTACAACAATTTTGTAGAAATTTTGCATGATACATACTGGTTAATTTTTGAGCGTTATGGTGACCGAAATACAGGGTGAGCTTTTTTTTTTCATTTTCACTATGGTGATCTCGTAAATCGTAAGATATAGAAATAGACAAACTTATCCAGGATTTTATGCTGATTAATTTTCCCTCTCATAGCTTCTTGTAGTTCCTCAAATAGTGAAGTTATGGGCAAAAAACCAAAAAATTTTATTACATATCAAAAAAGAATTTTAACAAATCCTTAATAATTTTTTCCTTTTTTATGATGGAAAATTTTTATCCCTTGTGGGTTTCGAGTAAATCACATCAACTTTTTTATTTTTTATGGACGCCATATTGTATTTTTACATCGTCATTCGATAGAGAAAAGAATTACAAAACCAGTGACACTAAATACTTAGTATTCCGTTTGGGAATCAACCTTGCATTTTTGCCTTAAGGTTTACAATGTACCTATTTCTTATCCTTATGGCAATAATTCAATGGCCTTGTCGATGGTGAGTATGCGACACAATAATTGAATGAATTTGGTTTCAATCAGCCATGGAATTATTGCCATAGGAAATACATTGGTTGTAAAGTTCAAGGCAACGTTATTATAATGGTTTAAAGAAAACCAGAAAATTCCGATCACTTCCGAAGATATGCCAGAAAACTGCAATTTGCCGATTTCATTTTTATTTTTTTTCTGTTAGTTGAATAGAGACAAAAAAATATTAAAACAGTTTCCCATTACCACTTTTTGAGCTCTACAGAACACCGTTGAGAGATTTTCAATACGAAACTTCGTTTCGGAGAAATCATCACCAACTTTTTTTTTAATATGTCACGTAGAAAACTACATGCTGTATTTCTTGAGTGGCGTTATAGCAATATATTACGAATACAACGATCTACGGCACATAAAAAACAACAGTTAGAAATCGGACAAATTTCTAGGGAAATGATCAATGATGATAGAATGGGAAGGAAAGGAGCATGAGCCTTCTGGGTTCCTGGATTTCCTTTAGGTAACCGGTGTGTAGTAACAAGTCGCTGTCATATTTTTGGTGCTTTCAAGGATTTATATTTATATTTTAAATGGAACTTCCTGCATGTTACTAGCTATTTCGATAGAACGTAACATTCTGAATCCAATAATTTGTCAACTTTTGATATTTTAAAGTATAGTACATTTCTTACATTTTAATTTAGCGTGCCATTCTTCAAAAACTTTTTTAGAGGAGGGGGCCCTGAAAAATTGATTTGGCCGTCTTTTGTTTCATTTAAAACCTTTACCTGCTAAATTATAGTTCTTTAACCATGTTTATGAGTTTAATTCGTTTTTTTCAAATGGAACAGTTCGCCCATTCGTAAAGATATTTTTTTGGCATTAATATGACACGATATGCTGTTGTGTGCAATGAAATGCGGTCAACTATACTACCCACAAAACTAAAAATTGAATTTTTATTATTGCTCCTCGTATATTTGTGCAATTTGCACATGTTAAGGTACCGTCAGTTAAATTCAATACAATTCACTTAGTTTATCGAATTTGTATATTATTCTCCTTAACGGAAGTGATCCTTCGACAATTATATTATCAAGACACAACATCAATACAACACTTCCGGCAACTGCCACAAATGAAAATACCATTATTGACTTAAATTAATAATTTGACCTCGGTCAACTTCTGAACATTCCAAAGGATTAACTACATCCATTTTCTCCATTTGCGCTTTCACTTTTTTTTATTCAAATCTTTATTCATTCTCTCTATTTTTTCACTTAAATCCTCCTTTAATTCCTTATTCATTCTTCCAATTCGATTGCACCGCCGATCTTTCTGTTGCCTCTAAAATGCCCTTCCTGTATCTTCACCTTCATTAATTGTTGTTTCTTCTTTAATAAAATCAATTTCTTTTTAAAACCTACTCTTACCCTAATTAACAGTACCTACTACCTACCCATGTAATTAATCCTGTAAGAACTGCTAATTAAATAAATGTCGGGGTGCCAAAGATAAATTTACCATACTATCGAAATATCACCGCGGAGCAGTTCGAGCCCGTAACAGCTGTGGAGGAGTCCTTATCTAACCTGAAGAAAGAAGCTGGAAGGATCCGACGTTCTTCTTCGGAACCGAGGCACGTGGCGCAGTGGATGCGCTCACCGATGCTATTCGGGAGGTTGTGGGTTCGAATCCCGCTGCCGACTGCTCTGTCTGGGGTTTTGTCAGATGGTTTTCCTCAGACATACGTAGCTTCGCATAATGCTAGCATTATGTTGAAATCTACGAGGCGAATGCTGGAGCAGTACTCTCCCCCTCAGCACCCTAACTCCGTTCCTTCCGTTCCCATCCCTAACTTTACCCATCCTTACAATCCCATTCTCTGGCTGAAGAGGGCCAGGAAGCCCTGAGCAGCCCGCCTCCGGTATCCCTGTAGTCAGGGGTGTCGGAGGAATGAAACACGTTGGCCTTTTTCCTTTTTTTTTTTCTTCTTCGGAAGCTAGGGACGATATCAACAGAAAAAGTTGGAGAAAGAGTGAAGCGCAATTGATTACCTTCAGTCAACGCCACGTCCGTGGTGTTTGACTGAAGGGAGTCCATTCGCCCCTTTTTCTGTTGATGATATCGTCCCTAGGTTCCGGAGATGAACGTCGGGTTCTTCCAGCTTCTTTCTTCAAGATAGATAAGGACTTCTCCACGGCTTTTGCGAGCTCCAACTGCCCCGTGGTCAGCTTATCCATTTTCATACTTGCTATTTTGGGCACTTAAAATCACTTCAATGTAGCACTTCACTGGGACCGAAACACCAATTCGTTGAACGGCTCGAAGGACCAAATGTAGCATTAGGAGGGTTGTATTTGTCTCCAAGCAAAATTACAAGAGGTAAATTCGGTCGGGGATAATTTTTATCTCATACCCCGGTAGTTACCGACAGTTCCTATAACGAATTAAGATAGTGACAAAATGTAATTTAGATTTGATTTAATTGATTTCTTAGTGATCATTTCTTTATAAGTCTTTTTAATTTAGCACATATTTTTTTCTGTTAAAAGTAATTAATGGGGTGCAAGCGTAGCAACGAGGTTTCCGAAATTATAAAATAATTAGTGTAAAACAGCTTTTGCAGGTTTAAAATTTATTAGTCACTGGAAGCAAAGAAATGGCATAACAAAATTAGGTAAATGAAAAATTAGGTAAATGAAAAGGTGCATAGACACACAATACATAAGTTTCAACAGATGCGGACAGCAGAATGGGGTTGAGCTCTGGGTATTAATAAGAAAATCTTCATAGTTGGTATGTAAAGGATTAGTGCTACGGAAACTTGAACTTAACTTTTAGTTCATTATGTAATATTAAACGAGGAATTTGTCAGACGATTTGAGGTTACAAAGTTATCCATTCCGAATTAGTTCAATTGACGTCTCGCGCCTTCTAAATAACCACTGTTCGTATTTGATATGCGCCGGTTGTCCTACTTTTTCGGTTCTCACAGTAGTATTTGAAGGAGTCTTCCGTTACGCTATTGAAAGATAGTATTTATTTCTTATTAGAAATTCAGTAAACGTGTCTTGGTTCCGTAGCGCATAGGTACGTACGTCCCGTAATTTACGTACATAGCCGCAAAATACATAATAATATGGACGTATGCACATGCAGTTCTAAACTAAAGTCATTTCCATTCCGAGGATCAACGTACACATTCAAACAACGTTTGAATTTTAATTTTTCGTCTTAGTCTACCAGTGCAACATTGAACGTAAGGGTCTTGGCACAAACTTAGTATTCCGTTTTTGAGCGGGTGTAAAGTTACAGATGGAGAACGTTTGCCAATTTCTGAAATTGATTTCACAGATCCAAAATTTCTAAGTCTCATCCGGATCGTTTTGAGATGAGCTTAAATAACTTGTGCAACAATAAACTTTAATTATCAATGAATCAACCAGACTTCCGCCATTCGTTCCTTGCTTTATTGGCCATCCTCTTCTGGCGGTGGCATTTATATATAAATTAATTTACCAAATGGTCACACACTTGTAGAAGCAGTGCTGCACATTTAGGTACATAAAATGAAGTACTTAATTATATTGCCATTAACTTTTTGTATAGTTATAAGTGCACCAAGATCAAGAGTAAGTTATTTCTTTTTAATTTGATTAAATTTTTGTCAGGGCGTTTTAATTGTGAAGAAAAGTGTTGGGTAATTTGTATGTTTTTCTGTTATTAGCAGGGTAATTTCAACTACAGGATGCTCACGTAATAAATCACATAATTGCATAATCTTTTCGTTTTAGATTTATCCTGAACAAACACCACCACAGTTACTAACGTTACCGAGCAATGCAACAAGTATACGTGCAGAAATCACAGACTCCTTCACGTGCGAGGGACGTTCTTATGGATACTATGCAGATACTGATAATGATTGTCAAATATTCCACGTATGCCTGCCCGTAGTTTACTCGCACACTAGAAGCCAAATGTTTAAATGGAGCTTCATATGCCCAGAGGAAACCATTTTCAATCAGGTAGACCAAATTTTTCACATCCAAACCTAAAACCAGCTTTTCAGGAGATCTTCACCTGCGTAAACGCGGACGAGTCAATCGATTGTATGGAGTCGCCCAAATTTTATTCATTAAATTCGCATTTTGGTGAGAGAGAATCTGAAACCGAAGAGGCCCATCACGTGACAGATGGCACGACTGTCCTACCGGAAATGTCGCAAGGTGTCGAAAAATCCGGAAGAAGACATTCGTATGACTCCAAACGAAAAACTTTAGAAAGCGTATACAATTATTAATTTTTTCTTCGCCTATACAATCCATTTTTAACATGACTGAATACAATGATCTTATTCGCAACAGACTGATTTAAACATAAGGTGTACAAGTTTAAACGCAATAAATGAGCTTTTTCTATGATTCATTTCATTTTGTCGTATTTCAAGTTTACGTTGACAGAGCTTGGAAGTGATCTATTTTTTTATGCAAAAAGGATGTTTCATTATGTGCAATGGTAATTTATATAACGTTTTATAAAAAGTGGAATCGTGAATAAATTGCAAAAGAATTGAGTTAAGTTTCTGAATGAAAAAAATGTACTCAAAACGATGGACTAAAGTTTGCCAATGTTTAACGCAGGGAAATGCCTTAAACGGAAGTGACAAACCGGACATGGATGGTTTTTGGCCCATAACTACGCCAGAATTGGTTTTAAGAAAAAAAATTGTTCTATGCAAAATTAAAGAGCATTAAAATCCCTACAGAAATGTATTTCGCACATTTTTTGTTGGGCCAGTCGAGGCCAGTCTTAAGTAATATATGTGTATAAGCTCTTTGTAAATGAATCATAATATATTATATTATGATTCATTTACAAAAGGAATAGTTATTTAGAGGAAAGTTCCGTAGGATCCCATTGGACCATTTCACGTTGATGCTTCTCCGTGATACAAAATTTGTTATAACAAAAGTTTCGAAATAAACTCAGCCTAATTTTCTATACGACTGGCCCAACAAAAAATATGTGAAATACATTTTTGTATGGATTTTAACCCATTCCACGAACCCTCTTTCTGTAATTCAAGGTTAGTTCTATTGATTTTCTCTAAGATGTTAAAGTAATTATTGCAAACCTTTTAAGATCTAATGTAAATGTCCATGAACTTGGCAGACCTACTACAGCAGACCATAGTTCTGTTTACTCATATCGTTAGTGTTCCGTTAGTGCACGTTAGCGCCGCTGAAGAAATCGTTAGTGCACAAAAGGAAACTTACTATTTTTAAAAAATATTTGTGGGCCTGCTAACTTCATGCTAGCAGACCCATTTCAGAAAATCGATTCAATCTTTACACTAGTTAAACTAGCAGCGTTAGTGCTCGTTAGTGCCGCCAATATAAACGTTAGTACTCAAAGTGTAACAGCTCAAAACTTTGTAAAAAGGGGTCTGCTAACTTCATGCAGCAGACCCACATTTGCCAAACTGGCTCTGTCCTAATGCGAATTTGAAGCGGCTCGTCAGTGCTCGTTAGTGCTTCGCATGCGAACGTTAGTGCTGCAAGGGATCCGCGTCAAAAAGGTACGAAACCACCTCAAAATTAAACTTGACTTATTGGGACCTGCCAACTTTACGCCAGTAGACCAAGGAACGAAATCCGTTTGATTTTCTACTTTAATCGACCAGTAAGTATTAGTGCTCGTTAGTGCCGCCAATATAAACGTTAGTGCTCAAAGTGTACCAGCTCAAAACGTTTTCAAAAGGGTCTTCTAATTTCATGCAGCAGACGCACATTTGTCAAATACATTTCGTTCATTCTCTTCAACTTTTTTTGTATTGGAAACAAATTTTGCTAGTTGTTGTGTGGTCAGCAGAACCTATAAGTTATGGTTAATTTTTAAGATGCTTTGGTAGTTTTTCGACACGGATCCATTAAAAGGACTGACGTTTACAAGTGAAGTCTTAACGAGCACTAACGAGGAGCTTCAGATTCGCATTAAGGCAGGACCACTTTAATAAATGTGGGCTTGCTGCATGAATTTAGCAAATCCATAATTTCACGCTTGAGCTCTTGCGCTTTGAGCACTAACGTTTTTTTTGCGACACTAACGATCACTAATACTGATAGATCGATTAAAGTAGAAAATCAAACGGATTTCGTTTGTTGGTCTACCGACGTGAAGTTGGCAGGTCCCAACAAGCCACGTTTAATTTTGAGGTGGTTTGGTACCTTTTTGATGCGGATCCCTTGCAGCACTAACGTTCGAATATGAAGCACTAACGAGCCGCTTCAGATTCGCATTGGGACAGGCCCAATTTGACAAATGTGCGTCTGCTGCATGAAATTAGCAGACCCTTTTTAAAACGTTTTGACCTGGTACACTTTGAGCACTAACGTTTATATTGGCGGCACTAACGAGCACTAACGCTCCTAGTTTAACTAGTGTAAAGACAGAATCGATTTTCTCAAATGGGTCTGCTGGCATGAAGTTAGCAGACCCTCAAATATTTTTTTAAAATAGTAAGTTTCCGTTTGTGCACTAACGATTTCTTCAGTGGCACTAACGTGCACTAACGGAGTACTAACGATATGAGTAAGCAGAATCATGGTCTGCTGTAGTAGGCCTGCCAAGTTCATGGACATCTAATGTAAAAACCGAATTTGTAGCAAATTTCAATGGTCTTAAAGGATTCAACCAATTTTGAATTTTTGATATAAATAGTGAGGTGCAAATTGAAGAGCCTATTGAATTTATGGTATAGATTCAAGATTCGTTTTGTTCAAGCATTTAAATTTAATTTTAAAAATTTCAATACAACAAAACTCAAAGGTTTGTATTTTCTGGCAGATTTCATCTGGCAAAACATTTGAAAACCGGCTCGTGTGGTAATTTTCAGAGAGAGAGACAGAAAGAAAACTCTACAGTAAGCAAAAACACCAAAAAAGGTGAACATTTGGTAAAGAATACGCTCGCCGACAGCAAAGAATAATTCATTTTATTTTGGTACAGTTTTAGTTCAGAATTTCAAAATGCAAGTACGTTTCAACCCCAATCATATTCGTTACTTCCCAAATCGAACGTGTCAAAAATTTATCGGGATGAGTCGTTGTTTGAATGGAACGTTCGGGGCACCTCTCTGAATTAGTTGCAATAAATCGTATGCATAATGTAAAAATGTGAAAACTGGGGCTGGTGGTTTCCTATTTTAATGGGCATCAGATAAATCCATGTTTCGGATAACTGGTTCAGCTGATTCCTTTTTCTTGGAATGCTTGCAATGGAGAAAATGCTAATGTTACGTTCAGACACGGCGATAATCGCGCGATTCTCAGAAGGATCTTATTTACATGAAAATGTTCCAAATCGTTCAGATAACCACGCGAAACTAGCGAGATTGCGATTGTCGACTTTTCTAATTATTCGCAAATGATTTACTGTCGAAACCCGTTCTTTTTGTTAAAGTTTTGTTGTATTTCTCTCTGTTCTTGCTTCAGTGTTTATGTTATCCCTAGTTAGGGGTGTTGATAAAAACAAATTAAATCCACGTTTACTTACACGACGACTATTAATAACAACATTAAAAACTAAAAGGTAACTCTAACTCTAAGCTTCAGTTTCTTCATCACTTGCCCGTCCAAGTTCTTCCGGAGTACGCAAATCGATGGCGAATTTTTTCTTGACGTAAGGAAGATCGCAACCCTCTTTTACTTTGTTGCCGAACTCCTGAAAAGCAGCGGCAAGTGCGTACGTCAATCTTCGGGCTTGCGCTCTGGAATCACAAACGAATGCGTGACAATGAAATGGTAAAGCGCCCTTTTGGTTCGTGTCGTCTACGATGATCATGCAAAACACGCGTGTGTAAACTAAATCCTGCACGCCGTAGGAGATCGTGTCGACTTTGAAAGAATTTATTGGCAGGCTCTTTGATTTTGATTTCGGAGAGTGCTGAAGAATCTTTAGTCCTCCTGTGGAGACCTCGACTGTTACTAAGGGTAGTGGTCCATTCTCCGAGACGTTTTTTGCAGCTGCTACCAAAATATCTACTGGTTTTCGTGTGTGTTTGATACCCCATAAGCCTTTCGCAGGTTGTTCACCTAAAACAGATTTTGGAATGAGCTCAAAATTCTTGTATGATAGCATGATAATAATTAACCAACGTAACAACTTTTGAGTAAGTTCAAGGAGGATATTGGATTGGGTTAAATTCCCCAAATGATGATATAAGGTGTTGCTAAAGGATGACAATTACGTTCAATACCACTCAAGTCGAAGGCCCAAAATTTCTGTAAATTAAATACATTTTTAGGAAATTATGATTAATCACACTTTGTCTACCTATTATAATAGTTTTACGTCGTGAAAGGTTTGTTGCGTAAATGAATTGCATCTTTTTTTAAAATAATTGCTGACTATTAGACGTAAGACCATTATTTCGCAGCTTCTGAATAATTATTTATTCACAAGTTGTGTCAGCTTGGCTTCCTATTCCTATCGTGTGGGTAGACATTAATAATAAGACTCATAATAGTAATTATAGAGTAGATCTCGTCAATTGATGGATTATGTACCTAATTGTAATGCAATCGTTAGTTTTCTTTAAATGAACTCCATTTCTTTCGACAGATGCCGATTTGACCTTTTACACCGCTTTTAAGAAAAATTTCATAAGTCGTTGCAGGCACTACGAAAAAGGAATTTTGCCATACCAACAATCGTATGAGGTTATTAAAGCAGTAGTTGTAGGGCGGACGGAATTTCTACATCAGTTGTAGGTACTTTTGCATGGAAAATACATTAAAATAGTTATTTACTGGTGAGGAAATACTGAAGTACGAGGCCCTTTACCCCTTAGAGGCCGAGTACTTTAATTCCCGAGTCAAGTAATGTAATTTTACTGCCGAGTTTTGTATTAAACTTTACCCAAAATCCTAGATTAATTATAATTAATTTTCATATAGAACATTTGGTTAATGTCAATCTGTCAGTGATGACATGAGTCACTACAGACATTTAGCAATATGACACGTGCGGTCAGAAAAGTGACAGAGAGCAGCCGGTAAAGTAGCAGGCGGTAGGAGGAAAAACTGTCTGGTCTGCCTCTGTCATGGAAACTAAACTTGCCTGATATAAAGTAGACATGAAAATGCAGATTTCATGACGATATTGGGTAAAGTATATTACTAACCAAATGATTAAGACGACACTGTAAACTTCTGTGTAAAAAATTGTCATAAAGAAACAAAACAAAACCTAACTATAAATTAATTACTCGATTAATTATAATTGAACTAATAACTTGACTTTAGTTTTCATTAACCCCCTTTTCAGCTAATATTTAGAATGATTACGGTTTCCAAAAAGATAATGGTAAATTTCAAAAAATCTCTACACCAATAAGAAAGTTGATACAGTAAGTTTTTATTCATTTTTTTTGGAAAGTTTATGTTTTTCAAGGAGGAATGGGCCATCATAAACAATATTTAGAAACAAGCGTTTTTGTACATCATATAGACTATCGTGTTAACAAGAAAAATTCCGACAAAGACACTGATACCGTATCAAGAGTTTTGTTTTAAATAGCATTTTTTTTGTATTTCTTAACGAAAAATGGGAAAATACTTAAATAAAAATTTTCGAAATGTTTGGGGTAACAAATACTTTTCTTAGTCCAAAAAGATAGTGCTAACACTGGAAAATTCTAAAAGATATCTACCAATATTTTAAAATATTTATTCCAGATTCTAAAGGTTTTAGAAATTATAAAAATATCAGTTACAAACTGACGATTCCAAGAGTTTAAAAATATTCTATGGCAATTCTAATGTTTCAGATTATTGTTGAAAGGTTCCAGAGATTCTATAAAAATACGTTCCATTAAGACAATTTTGAGAAGATATTAAGGAAAGCCAACCAAAATTGGAAAGGGCTTGAAGGTTCTGTAGCTTTTCCAAAAAACATTTTAAAAGGAAGTTCTAGGGAGATCCTAAAAATATTCTAAGAATATTCAAAGAAGGAATATGTATAGTAACATAACCGTGCAGAACACGCAGTCATAGTGTTTTCCCAAATTCCAAATCTAGGCCCCCTACATATTTTGTTGCAAAACAATATAAAAATATCTTCAAAATCTCTACAAAATCTCTTCAGAAGCTCTTCAAAATCTTTTTAAAATCTCCTCAAGATTTCTTCAAATTCACTTTTGAATCGCCTCTGACCTTAACGCATGTACTATTGTACATGCAAATTTACGAACGGCAATATACAATGTTGCAGACTCAAGCACAAATATTATTGGTATTGTGGTAACTAGGTGTCTACTGCGAGTTTACTAGTTTATCTTGCCTGATTTACAAATCGCATCAAAAACATTTTTAAGCGGCACGGTAATTAAAAAAATTTAAAAAAAACTGTTTTAGTTTATCCTTTTCCTAGAGATCCTAGTTTGCCGTAATTTTGCTTTAATATACAATAATATGTAACATTGTGCTTGACTATGCCTGTTATTTTCCTCTTTTTCAAAACATGTTTATTATTTAAAAAGAACTAGCATGGAAATTATGTCTCATCTCAGAAAACATTCTCATGAATAAAAAATTATTCAGTGATTATGCTATATTATGCTAAGAAACGTCTTCAATTTAGGAGCCGGTTAATCTTTTAAAAAAACGCCTTTGTCGCGAAAAATTAGCGCCAATTGCCAAATCTGTACAAGGCAATCTAAAATTGCTGTGAAGTGCATTCGTTTCGATACCATTCCTATCAGATTATCACACGTTATCCCATGTGAGTTGTAGAGCTTAATAAACATACACGTTACACGTCCTTTACAAAAATAACCAACATTTTGTGATATAATTTGCACATGAGCTGTGGCAGTCTCCTTATAATGTTCCAGTTTTTGAAAGTATACTTTTAAAAATTGTAGAGAAAAATTACATACTCGCACTTTTAGTATGCGAAATGCCCGATAGAGGGAAAAATAAAAATATTGGTTAATGCCCCTCGAATCTTCCAAAATAGTTTACAATTGGTAACTTATTATAGTGTTAATTAATATAAAAAAAAGCGATGTAAATATTTTGAATAACTTTTTCCAAAAATTTTGATTGTGATAACTTATGGTACCTAGTGTTAATTGTACAGCTATATGTTCGGTTCAAAGAATGAAAACGCTTATATACGAAAAAACGTCCACAACGCGTTATGGTCTCTTTCAATTTGTGTTATGGCACTAAAATATCCAGAACGCGTTTGCCAATAGTTTCATGACTTCCTCCACTTTTCGTTCTTCCTCGTCCTGATTTGAGTTTAAAGGAACCATCATTTTCCCTCAAATGTGTTAAGAAGTAACCAACTGTGCTCACTTTCCTGGAACATTTTTTACAATTCCTTTGAGACCATAACTTGTTTGACTTACTAAAATTTCATCTTCAATTTATAGGTAAACCATTTTAAATAATGAAGCAACAAAAAACTAAACAGATTCATGACCGAGTTGTTTGCTATAATTTTGTTTCTATAAGACAAAAGGGAACGAAAACTAGCAAAAATCAACTGTGCTTAAAATAATAAAACAGGACTTGATCAAGTGACAGTAAAAAAATTAATTTCGTTGATATATTTAAGTTGTTTAAATTAAGTAAAAACAATATATTACATTTGAATTAAAAAATAAATTTAATAAAAATAATATATATGCCCTTTCAGAATATCTTTTATTTTCCTGAAAACGCTTAAACATTTTTAATTGATTTTAAGGGTAGTCTTTCCGGTCTCCGGACAGCTACTAATAGTTTTTATTAATTTTTGAAAACGTAACATTTAAAGTCTTATTCGCATTGAAATATAATTTTTTTGTATTGAACCATTCGCTTGGGCCTCTCTACTGATGTTGCCTCTTGAAAAGCTCTACGACTAACTGATGACAAAGAAGTGCAGTCAGCGAACATCATAATGTTACAGAATGAGCTAATGAAACAAGTGCGGCGAGGTCATTGATAATAAATCAAAAAAGAACAAGGCCCAGAACTGATTCGTGGGGCACCCCTGTGTGCAACATAGACGTTGGCTCTGATTTGTTGTTATTAATTGTTACATACTGCGTCGTTCTGATAGATAAGATATAACTAAATCTCTGTTGTGGACGTCAAAATTGTAAAATTCTAATTTATTAATTAATATAGTACAGGAGACGCCATGGTTCAAATCTGCGATAATACTGGAAATTAATACAGTTGAAAGTGACCGGGAACGTGTTCACATTTGCTATATTATTGTCCCGTCGCGAACCGCGCCGAGTTCCGGGCCGCACCAGTGTGAACGGCACGTCGCAACAAACTCCATTGCAAACCTGATCAGGGTGGCAGATTGAGGATTGCCGCGATCCATATCGTGTACAGTTATATATTGCATTTTTCCTTTGTGGGTCCTTCCTCTAACATTTTCGAGATTCATTAATTAATATTAATTTTTCACATCCCCAATAGATGCGTCTCTAGACGATCTTTCCCCCCTTTCGAGAGAACTCTCCTCCGACACTCCGTTCTGCAGTTGTTTGCACTTCGTTCTCAAGATTCGCTTGGACTTCACTAATTGTCCCCTCCACACGATTCATTAAGCTTTGTAAGTACCCCACTCTGACAAACCGTTTTCGAGATATTCGCTTTTCAAGTTTTGCCACCACATCACCAATGAATATATTTCTTCAAACGCCCAAATCTCGGTCCCAATTGCCCTTTGTGAGTACCCTCCTTCGACATTTCGCTCTTTAAATATGAGGAATTACAACCGATCCCTATAAGAGGTGGAGGAGCAGGTTGGTAGAAATGGATTCATTTCGTTGAACATGTGCTAAAAATTTTTAAGCAACGAAGAAAGAAAACATAGGTTTTTATATTCAAAGTTAAATTATGTTTTTAACTTTTCCTCATATCGCAAGGTGAATATGGTACAAATGCTCTTTCAAATGGAAAATACATTGTTCTACGTTTAAATTGATACAGCACAACAGTGGCGGCTCGTAAGCTGCGTAGAAGGTAGTGCCAATTCATTCAGTTTTCATATTATTCCAGTTATTTAGATTTTGAGTATAATTCGGATATTTATAATGCAAGTGACGGAAACAAATCTAGCCCCTTTAATTTCTTTGGAGACTT